ATATTCTCGCGTATTTCTACGGACATCTTCCTGCAAAACTCATCTTCCGAATCCTCAACGTGCTCGATATCAAAAAGGTAACCGATTTTAACCTAATTTCATCCCTCCTTTGACTTTTCCTTTGACCAAAAAAGTCAAACCTTTCAGATGCCATTCTCCGAGTCATTTCCACAACACGTCCACTCATCAAACGCCATGTGTCCGCCATTGGACTACTTCGGGTCTCTTCTATGCAACATCGTACACAACGTCATCCCCCAATGCAAAATTGACACTTCAGCAAACGGTATAAAAAGTAACCGAAATCCAACCGTAAGTCAAACCGGGTCAACCAACACTTTCGAAGGTCAAAAAACATTCTACCAAATCCAAGACCCTGGGACCTACACTCAACTAATCCTCGAAACTGCAGTTATTGAAATTCTATCTTTACCTGTAACAGCAGCACAGATTGTAACTGCATTAGTTCAAATCATTATTCATATTCAACCGACTCTTACTCAATCTAACCATGGTTTGCATCAAGCTTCAACTAGCTCCGGGCAGGGTTCTGCCCTGCCCACGTCACCTTCGGGCGGGAGTACAGATTCTTTGGGCAGATCGAGACAGAATAGTTCTGGTTTTCTTTCGAGATGTGGTTATGCAAGTCAACAGCTTTCTTGTTTGATGATTCAAGCTTGTGGGTTGCTTTTGGCTCAGCTTCCTGGTGAGTTCCATGTGCAGTTGTATGCGGAGGCGTCACGGGTGATTAAAGAGAGTTGGTGGCTTTCGGATGGGAAGAGGTCTGTTAGTGAATTGGATTCTGCTGTTGGGTATGCTTTGTTGGATCCTTCATGGGCTGCTCAAGATAATACCTCTACTGTTATTGGTAAGTTACAATTTGTTGAAATTCAAAAAAAAAAAAAAAAGTAAAAGTATTTTTGATTAATTTTCATGATTATGATATTTTTCAGGAAATGTGGTGGCTTTGCTTCATGCTTTCTTCAATAATCTTCCACAAGAATGGTTGGATAAAACACATCTCCTTGTAAACCATTTACGCCCTATAAAATCAGTAGCAGTGCTCAGAATAGCCTTCCGCATTGTGGGCCCATTGCTTCCAAGATTAGCAAATGCTCATAATTTGTTCAGTAAGGTAAAACTTTTCGCTTTCCGTATATACCCTTCTGAAAGTTTAAAAAAAGTATTAATGTTAGTGATTTGGGTACACAAGATTCTTTCTGAAAGGGTATTTTTGTCATTTTTTTTCTAGACACTCGAATTGCTGTTGAACATGATGGTGGATGTTTTCGGGAGGAACTCTCAGCCGTCAACACCTGTTGAAGCATCAGAAATCACTGACCTTATTGACTTCCTGTGAGATTTTATTCAAATATCACGTGCGAATATAGTTTAATAATTCTTGAAATTAAAATTGTAATATTTTAATTTTTTTTTTTTTTTTTTCAGTCATCATATCGTGCATTATGAAGGTCAAGGAGGCCCTGTGCAGCCAAATTCAAAAGCAAGACCGGATGTGTTGGCTTTATGTGGAAGAGCTATTGAAAACTTAAGAACAGATGTGCAACATCTTCTTTCTCACTTAAATACAGATGCAAATGCTTCTATTTATGCTGCTACTCATCCAAAGCTCTTTCAGAGTCCATCTTGAGGTTAAGGGTAGATTTGGTAATTAACAGTCTAACATTTTCAGTGTAATGTACAGTATTTATTAGATGACGAGGTTCAAATCACTATAATATTATACGGAATAATTAATGTAATCAAGTGTCTTATTATTATTACATAAAGAGTTAAGATCTAAGTAGAACAAGTTAACAGCAATCCATTTCACTATTGTTAAATCTTGATGATTATCTTTGTAGGAAAGTTGACTTTTGAGATCAGTGAGACTTTTTTTCTAATTCCAGTTATATATAACGGAATCTTTTTTTATGTTGTAAGAAAGTTTGAAATCTTATGGAACATGATATAGAGTACAACAAATGTGATGGTGAATTATATGGCAATGTTACATTGATTTTGGATTTGAAGGAAGTAGGTTTGACCTTAAAAGCCAAGTGTTTTTTTTTTACCTAAAAGGGTAAGTGACCTTGTGATGTTATTGCACCTTTTAAGAAACCGAGCTAATGATGCTTTAAATGCCTGAAAATGAACATGTTCAAAACTCATCAACATATTTTTTTTGAACTCATTTTGTTTAAAATTTATTGGTCGAAGAAAATTAAGATCTGTGTTGGTATCAAGTTCATGTGAAATATGCACATAAAGAACAAGTTTAAGTTTTTTTTGTATATAGAAACAAGTTCATGTGAAATATTCACGCAATACTTTTCACTTATCTTTCGACAATTAGCTATGGCTCTCCTCGCTGGCTTCATCATTGCAGAGAAAACCTCTCACAACTATCACAAGCTTGTCTTTATACTTACTCCAACGAACCAAAACTTAAAAAAAAAAAAAACAGTAGACCACATTCATTTTTTTTATCTCTTATCCTTTGCTTGAGGTTTATAACAATATACCCCATGTCATCGGCCAAATTCATTATTTTCACTTATTCCTTATTAAGTTTTTTCTCTTATTTCTCCACCTTTGTGCAATGATGGTTCCATTTCTTCAAAAATGGAAACAAGTACCTCAATTTATTACATCTCCCTCCTTTGATCCTCACAATATTCATATGCTCAGATAAATGGTGCATGATCTGAATCTCTTTCAAAACATCTTCTTAATCATCTTGTAGATAGGTTTCTTTTTGGGTATCGATCTGCATGCATAAGGAATGCCTTCTGTGCATAGATGGGTTATAAGAAATTGGTATAAAGGAGTATATTTTCTATTTCACCTTTGGAAATTTGTACTTTATTTGTGTATGATAGTCTTTATTTTTATGGTACATAACTTTGATTTAATGCTATGTTATTGCAAGTTTACTTCAAAACAATATATCCTTTCAATGAGAGGTGGTTGGGTAGCTGGATGATCACATTATTTTAGGACATTTTGCATGCATTTGCATTGTTGTGTGTTACCTGATATCTTTGTGGGTATTACTAAGTTCTTAAAGTATAATGTTTTAATAAGAAAAAACCCAATTATAACATTGTCCAATGGTTTTTAGGTTTATGGCTTTTTAGGTAGCCTACTTATGGAGCACGGAATGAAAAAGGTACTATCTTTACCAATGATACTATATTTAATTAGTGTTTCTAAAGTTATTGTTAAATGCATGAAATAGAAACTAACTTGAATTGATCTTAAATACAGTACCATACTTTCAAAAGCTCTTTTATTTTTTCAATTTCACTTTCTTAATTTTCTAGAATTTTTATTCTAACTTTATTTTATTAAAGCATTTACTATGAAAGTACAATGCTATAATTGGACAAAAATTGAAAACAACCACCCAATTATAGCATTGTACTTTCAAAGTAAAATGATTTAATAAGAAAAAACCAATTATAACATTGTATGATGGTTTTTAGGTAGCCCATATATGGTTTATGGTTTTTTGGCACACTACTTATATAGCGCATTAAGAAAGTACTACTTTTACCGGTGACACTATATTTAACATTTCTAGAATTAGGATTAAAGGCAAAAAATAACAACTAACTTCCATTCATTTGTCAGTGTTAATATAGCTATTGTAACAACTGTACCTACATTTAAATACGGTGTGTAGGTGTTTGTATTTGGGTGTACCTGTGTGAATAAGTAATTTATAATTGTCACTGCTTTGCCATCTGTAGCAACATACTTCTATTGTATTTGCAAAAATGCATTAAATTGACCATTAATGGGTTTTTTCCGTTTTTAGCAATGCACTTTCAACAAAAGTTATTACTTAAACTTCTTCCACAGCATGTGACTTAAACCCTCTTTACCAGACAACTAACTCATCAAACTCTATAGAAATGCCAAATCAGTAGCTATATATATATATATATATATATATATATATATATATATATATATAATATATATATATATATATATATATATATATATATATATATATATATATATATATAACCGTTCAAACTATGGGGGCCTATGGGGGATTTTAGTGTACATTTAGTATTAGCCTTGTTTTATTGTTGTATTAGGTCCAACTAGAGGTGGATCTAGGATTTTGATAGGTTGGGTGCACAAAAAAAATTAAATATAATTTTGGCAGTTAAAAATGATTTTAAGTACCGATAACAAAAATATGTTAAATTATAAGAAAATGATAAATTACATACTCTAATTATCCTAAATTAAATATTATAAGATCCTCTAGCATTTTTCATCTTTCAAAAGTGATAATTACAATTTTATTTATAACATTTATTACGTCTTATTTTTCAACGGCATCAAACGATTTATATATTAGAAAATTATCAGGACAAATAAGAAGTAGAAGACAAAGCAGATTACTTGAGGAAGACAAAATTATTAATTTTGAAGAAGAAAGTGGGTTTTTATATCTCTTCAACTTTATCTCAACAGCCCAAAGGGCATGTGCTCCCATCCTCTACTTGCACCCCCTTGGCCTAGCCCAAAATGTACTCTCGGTCCAAGTGTTGTATATGACTCGTTGTACATTTTGTTTGAAAACGACGTGAATATTGTATTCCATTATAAACTTTTCTAATTGCGCGCGTGCCCAGTACGTAAATTCGATTGATATTGAAATATATTATTCTCTCTCTTTCTCTCCTTGACAAAAATTCCCAACAACAAATAATTCTTTGATTTTATTTACTTGTTCTAGCCTATTAAATCACCCTTGGCATGCATACCCTTATCCGATCAAATTATATAATCCAACAGTTATGGCTTTCAAAATCAAATAATGCCAAGAGCATAGAATATCTTCCATGTATTTTCTTATCAATAATGCTTATAGAATATGATGCATGAATGATGAATGTGACATCCAAATTCTCAATACACGTAGAATTTGATAAATTTACTTTACTGCCCTCATCACTTTGTATATAAGCACGCATCCATGGAGTTTGGCACACAAGCAACAACACAAGAGAAATGGGAGTAACGGTACGTACCATTAATGTTTATCGCATTAATTAATCAAGCGCACAGCTAGAATAGATCGATTATTGTAAATTGACTTTTCTCGAGCTTATAATATGACAAAAAAATTAAGGTACACGCGTAGTATATACATGATCTTATCTGTTTATTTTGTCAAACATGTACAGAAACTGGCGCAAGTAGGACCATGGGGAAGCGGGGGAGGAGAGTATCCCTACGAATTCATACCAAACGGTAGGATCACCAAAATCCACATAAAAACCGGAGGCTCAGGTGGTTGCATCGATTCCATAACATTTGCCTACATCGATGCATGCAGTGGTCAGGAATGTTGGTCCAAAACTTATGGTGGCGAGGGTGGTCACCTTTCTCAATATGTAAGCATTCCAGTGACTTAATTAACTATCGATCAATAAAAGTATGTGGTTTAACATAGGTGTTTTTTTTTTTTTTTTTTGGGGTGGGTAGATGTATATTGAGGAAGGCGAGGAGTTTTTAGAACTGAGTGGAACAGTCGGACGTTACGGTGGTTGGACGGTGATTACTTCATTGTGTTTCAAGACGAACAAGAAAAAGTGTGAGTTTGGTTCGGTGAGTGATAATAAATTCTCCCTGCCTGTGAAAACAAACACCGCTAAGATTGTAGGCTTCCATGGAAGGTACGGGGGTTATCTTGACTCGATTGGTGCCGTCCTCCAGCCCAAATGATACCCTTATATGCTGGTGTAGCAGCAGCCATGTGCATGCATGCATGGTTAATTAACACTTTGTGGAATAATTAATTAGAGAGGCTTCGGGAACAAATGAAGTCCATAATGATATGTAGTAGCCATAAACCATCCTTGTATTGCACTTGTTATCTTAAGCTATATATGTAATAAACGTATGTTCGATGGTTTGTGTTTAAATAGATAAGTTTCGTTTGGTTTGCAAAAGGGTTGTTGTAACCCATGTCGGTTTAATTTGGATTGTTTCAAACGCAGAGACTAACCTCTGATCTCAACGTACAACTCGTCATTTTTTGAACTGCAAGTCTGCATAAGGAAGATAGATAGGATTACAAAGGGCTTAAGGAGAAGCATTGATAAGCGGGGCCAAGCTAGCAATTGGCAGCTGGCGGCGGAAGGGACTGTTATTTAATCAGTGTACACAACTCTTAACTCCTTCGGCTAATCCTACTTATGTCATGACTTATCTTAATACAAGTTTCCCTCAACACCAACAATATCTACGTGCTGGTGCGTGGGTTCTGATGCACGGGTACCCAAAGAATATCAACTCCGCAAACCTGGTAAAGTTTCTATTTTTTAATTACTTTATTAGGTTAGATCTTGAAGATGTGACAACGAATATATATATGCCATGCATGGTGGATATCCTTTTGCATAATAAGCACTTTTATTAGACAAATATGTTGAATTTTAGACATACCAAATGTTGAAATTATAACCAGATTCTTAAACCAAATGAAAAACACTTACTTGAAGCAGATGATATACCACAGATTTTGAAGAAGATGATTACCATAGATTAAATGAATAACATTTATTTAGAGAAGATGACATACCATAGATTTTGAAACTGACGATTTCATGTTTCTTTTTCTTTTCATAATTGTCTTATTGATCAATTTATGGATAGATTACACACGAGTATGGTGTGTATATATATATATATATATATATATATATATATATATATATATATATATATATATATATATATATATATATATATATATATATATAGCGTTAGGTTATAATGTTGATGACATCTATTGTTTGGTCGTAAGGACAATTTTGTAACAATAGATGAAAATAATGAATGACTATGATATGTGGGTCTATAATATTACAATGGGGTAACATGTACTTTATAATCACTCAAATTTCATTGAAAGGGTAGTTAGTCATTTAAACGACATTTAAAAAAAGAAATTTTCGGATTTTAAATGATTATTGATTCTCCAAAATGTCATTCTCGCAGAATTGCTCATAAATAAAATAAATGAAGATTATCAACTTATTTCACCAATGATCAATGTCAATTGCCAAATTGTTTATAAATAAAATAAATGAAGATTATTAACTAATTTCACCAAATTGTGATATCATCATAACTTTCATATATACATTAATTTGAAGTAGACGAATAGAAGCACCTAATTCATCACAAAAAGCGAAAAAAATCCACAAAATAGATACATAAGAGTGAATTAAGGAATAAAAGCAAATAAATATAAAATGTCTATGAAAGATACTTTAATGAGAGATGGAAAATATTACTTCCCACGCCAATTTTTTTTCCTGTTTATCTTAGACCATCCGTTATATTCACCACATACCACATATGTGGTGGGTGCCACATCAGCACCACATTCTTCTACCACTAACATGGGATACCTACCACTAACTTACCACTCCACCTCATTTTTTTTATTTAAATTTAATTCAAAAATACATTAAAACACAATAACGCATATTTTTTTTAATTAAATTTAATTAAGAAACACAATAAAACATATTTTTTTAACTAGTTTTTTATTCAATGAAACAATATTACATTAATTTAAGACAAACAACATAAAATTAAAAAAAAAACATAAAAAACCTTAAAAATGCAACCACAAACAACTTAAACTACTTTTTAAACCTTATTTTTAATCACTAAATTTTGGGCACTCTCTTAATTTTCGCCAAACTTTGACGTGTTTAAACGATGTGTGTTTCGTGTCTTCATATTGGTTCATGGCCACAGTAAACGGGTCGCCTTTGTATACGTTGTTTATAACAAAGTTATAAATATCATTGAATTCAAGACATTTAACTCTCATATCGCGATACTTCAAACATATTTCATCAAGACTACGACTTTGGCAACCCATTAAATCATGGAAAACGTTTCCAACTTTTATCCAAAAGTTAGGAGGCGTTACTGGGTCTTCTGAAGCCGCTATCCATGCTCGTGCTAAGTTCTCTTCTTCATTTTTTGACCAATTCATCATTTTAGGAGCCATTGGTTTTGAAAGAATGTAAAAGAAGTGTGTGATTTTGTAAGAAAAGAATGAAGAAATTGTGTGAGTATGTTTAATATAAGTGTGATATTTATAGAATAAGTTTAATATGTTTGAAAGGTAAAAAAGAAAAAAAAACAAAAAAATCCGTTGCACATGAAACTAGCCGTTGCAAACATCAACCAATAGCATTTTCCCCATTCAAATGCCGATAACACACATACATGAAAAAATTACAGCGGGAATTAAATCGAGAAACTACGAAAATAAATATTACCCCTAACAAAATCAAACATACAAGGAAAACAGTGATTTCATAAAAGAAACAGTGAAATACTAGTTCTTCCTGATCATATCAATACCAAAGAAATTAAAGATTGAGAAAAACAATCGAATAAATAACTAAATACATATATAATAAACCATAAAACCATATGAATAAATTAACAATTATATACCAAAAGAAATAAATCTTCCAAAGATATTTAACAGGAAGTTTTACCGGAATAGTGGGGATCGATTATGGCCCTTAACGATTGAGTAATATGACATCGGTTGAAGTTCTATTCATCTCTTCATCTTCTTCGTTTCTATTTTTGATGCCTCGTGAACATCTCTTACTCATTCTCGACTTTATTTCACAAGCAATAGGCAACGAGTTTGTTTATGTGGGTGTTCGGAGGTGGTAAATGAAGATGGCAATGGTTGGGGTTAGACGGAGATTTGACTGTGGTGTTTGGGTGGAGGGGGCTGCCGGAGGTGCCCATCGTCGTTATTGGTGGCGGCGGCTACTTTCTTAGAGTGAGATGGCAGTGAGTGGTGTCGATGATGTTATTTGAAGGGAAATTGGAAACTGATTGCAATATTATAGGGATACGATAGGATTTTAATTTTGGAATTTATTTAATATACATGTAATATTACTAATCCACCCATTTTAATTTAATTAATGATTTATTTTTTATTAAATTCTAATTGGGTCCTGCATCCACACAATAGATGTCCATCCACATATGAACCTCTCTCTCTCTCTCTCTCTCTCTATATATATATATATATATATATATATATATATATCTATATATATATATATATATATATATATATATATATATATATATATATATATATATATATATATAGAGAGAGAGAGAGAGAGAGAGAGAGAGAGAGAGAGAGATTTATGTTAGAAGATACGAACCAGTTGAGATTCCGCTAATATGTTTCTCTCATAATCGTATGTTTCATTTATCAAATTACACCTTATGGGTAACTTACGAAACCACACATATTTTGTCCCTCATGTTATAGACAAACGTCATACCCACTACATATATCTAATTCCAGGGATTGAAATATCATTATGGAAAATGTTATGGTACATAACATAATTATACCAGTGTTGTAAAAATCGGTCTAGACGGCCGATTAATCGACGCCTAGGTGCTTGGTGGCGACCAACCGCCTACGAATAGTTGTTAGAGGGTTAATTATTTGACCATGGTCAATATCGGTCAAAACCGGTCCAATTCGGTCCAAATCAGACCAACTCGGAATCCTAATCAAACCAAATAAATTTAAGAAACCCACCAGCTCAAAGGAGCCAGCTCGCTAACACAGTTTGGTTTGGTTTTCTAAGAGATACAAGCTCCTTTTATAGAATAAGTTTGTGTTAAAATATATAATATTTAGTGTTCAAACTAACACTAAATATTTGGTGTTAAGTATAAGTTTGTATAGTTTGTATTTATAAGGGGGTATTACAGGTATACTTGGAATATTGAAGGGTTGCAAGTGTTCAGTTCGTGGATTAGCTCGGGTCAACACGCGGGTCTTCGGGTTGAAGATGCCCCGGATACTTAAAGTCAAACGCAACCTATTTGGGTTATTTTGATTCATTCAGTTTAGCTCTGTAACACTCACTTCTCTCTTGTTTTCATATTACTTCAATTAGGGTTTTCTCTGTGTTTAGGGTTAATCTGTTCGTTGTTCTTGATCATCTTTTAGATTAGGTTGAGTGAACTATTGTTGAGAGTAGTGTAGGTTTTATGTAGTGAGGTTTGTGTTGTAAGTTCATGAACACACCTGTCTGTTAATCATCAAATGGTATAATAGATGGTGATGTTGGGTATTTGAGTTCTTACTAGTTTTTACATGGTATCAGAGCTTTAGGGCTCCGATTCTTGTCTCAGTTCATCTATCGACGCTTCGTCTTCACAAAATCAAGGTAACTGTTTTGGTTTCCTGTTTTTTTCGTTTCAGTTTTCTATTGATCTTCATAATCTGGTTCTGTCTAGGTTTTCTTATTGAAAACTAGATCCAACTTTAGATTGTGTTAGATTAGGGTTTCTGTTTGTCTGTTGCAAACTATAGTTTCTCGATCTTGGTTATTGCGAGTTCTCCGTTTTGTATTGCAGACTCAGAAGACCAGATCTACTTGTTTCTATATCTTAGTCGCGTGAAGGCTTTGTATTCTGCGGGATCGGTCGGTTAATCTCATAAGATCTGAAATAACTCTCTAAGGGTCGGATTTCATCACCAATAAACCTCAGTAGAGAACGGATCCGAGAGCCGATCTATTGTTACTGGTTGTATTGGCTTCTGCTCTCACTGTGAGGATTTCTTGTTCTTATCTTCTTCCTGTTTAATTGTTTTGTGAAGATCTTATTATCTTGATAAGTTCTTACTGTTTTCTTGATTCAGTGATTGCTTGTCTTGGGCCCCGACATACTGTGGTGACCATCTGGACTCTAAGGCTTTCACTGTTATCTGTTTTTGTTTTGTTTCAACTTTGTTTGATTTCTCTCTAAATATGACTGGTTATGGGGTTGAATCTTCTGGTGGGTCTGGGGCTAAACCAGATGCTGCTGTCAACTTTGATGATCCTTTATA